TTGTCCTGACATCTAGTGGAAGGTTCACCATAGCACAGATGAGCTCTGGCTTTGCACAGAGCCTGAGGTGGGATCAGCCTTGGCTGCTACAGCAGCTTGGTTTGGGTCTGAAATTAGAGGAGAGGATGAGAGGAAATGGCCTCAAGTTGCGCCAAGGGCAGTTGAGATTGGAGCTGAGGAAGAATTTATTTCCTGAAAGAGTTCTCAGGCATTGGAAGGGGTTGCCCAGGGCAGTGGTGGAGTCCCCATCCCTGGAGGGATTGAAGAGTCATGTAGATATAGAGTTGAGGGACGTGGGTTAGTCAGGGACTTGTCAGTGTTGGGTTAATGATTGGACTCAATGATCTTAAAGGGCTTTTCCAATCGAGGCCATTCTGGGAGTGCACACAGTGCCCCTGAGTGATTCTGGTTTGGGTGATGTAGCAACAAAATCAAGGCTGTGCTGGCAGGAAGAGTGGTTCCCATCTCGATGCAGCACCATGGAGCAGCGTGTGGAGCTGCAGGCTGGTGCAGCAGCGGCACAGAGGGATGTGTACCAGCAGCAATCATCTCGCATGAGTAAATTCATTGATTTCGGCAGGTTTGCCTGAGCAAAACAAATGGAGCTTGGAGCTTGACACTGTTGCGGTGCCTTAGTGCATCTTGATGTTGCGTGCAGTCAAATGTGCTTTCAAATTAGCTTCTAGGTGTCTTGCTGTTTCATCTGGGAATGGGGCTCCCAGCAGCCCTACTTCTAGCTCTTTGTGACCTGAGGCATCCTGATGGTCCTGTTAGCAAAAAGGGGCAAAAAAACGAGCTTACAGGTGGGTTTCTGAAGGCAGGCTTGGTTGGAGGTCTGTTTTTCCAGAGTTCCTCCTGGGAAGCGCAGGAGGGAGAAGGGCAGCAGTGATACAGATGACAGGAGATGTGCCCAAACGCACAACATCCCTCTGTTGTCAGTGCTGTCACCCAGCAATTGCAAAACACCTTTCCAAGGAAGGGAGAGCTTATCAGCAAACACATCCCTAATCTGATAGCTGAGGTACTGAGCACGTTTTTCCAGGAGATAAAGCAGCGTGTTACCCATGGCAGCCTCACGTGCATCACAGCTTCCTCCTCCAATCCCACAGTTGGTTTCTAGATGGGAAATCACATCCAATTGCCTCCTGCGTGCCTGGGAAGGATAAGCTGGGGTGAGCCAGGTTCTCTGCATTTGTAGGGCTTCCTACTCTTCTGGCAGATTTTGGTTGAATTCTGCCTGGACAAGGTGGGAAAAGCTGATGACCAAGTTTAAATGTGACAGTCTGGGTAGACAAGGGGTGTTGTGCTGTTCTGATGAGTGTTTTAGCACAGCTAATTGTGTTGATTTGTGTTGTGGCCTTACTTATTTTTTTGTTATTATTTTTTCTCTTAATTGAGTAACCTAAGACCTAGAAAGAATAGGAAGGAGAATTCACTCCGTTGCAGAGGATCAGAATGAGATCACTGTGATACCAAGGATCTCACCTTAGCATTATTTTTAATGCTGGAGCAATGCCAGAGTTTTGCCGTGGCTTCCTCTGCAGTCACCATCATATGTCCATCAAAATCTCTGGTCTTCATTTCTTCTTACTCCTGGCCTGGCTGTGGGCACAGCAACACCAGCTCAGGCACCTCTGGAAGTGACCAAGCATGGTTATACACCACAGATGTATTAAAATATGAAAACACCAATTAAAAAGGGTGCATATTTTTCCCTAAGTCCTTCCTGGTCTGGCTCTCTGCACAGGTTAAGTGGAGACTGAACCACTGTGCCTTAATTTGCAGAGGCTTATTTTTAAGCTGGTGTTTACCCCTCCTTTCTCCTCGCAACTTTTACAATCCAGCTGTGTTCCCTTTTCTGTCCTAAGTACCCTTTTGTCCTTCCCTAGCTTTGCCCTTGCCATCATTCCTTTCCCACCCATCAAGGCAGTTCTCCATCCTACCTGCTCATCAGCAATAAGAGATGAGGAAACTGCCCCTCTGCAGTTTGATGTTCTTCCAAATTACCATCCCATGGGGGTGGATTTGGGACCCCCTGGGGCCTGGTTGCCTTCCCTGGAAGTATGGGCAGGAGGGGTTATGTTCCCAGCTTTCCTGCCCGCTGGAGGACAAAGCAACCAGCTGGCTCCAGACCTTCATTATTCACTTCCCAGCCCAAAATATAACCTCTGAGAGAAATAAAATAATTGTTGGCCTGCGCTGGGAAGTGTCTGCTGAAGTTTTATGGTGTATTTAAGGAGATTACTCAGGTGTTGGGGCATTCTTGTGGCAATGACCCTAGCCTGGGCCCTGGTTGTACATTTTTGTTTCTTTCTTTGATTCTTTCTTTCTTTCTTTTTTTTTTAATTAAGACTCTTTGCCTTGTTGGTCCTTGGGGACTTGACTGGAGTCTGTTCGCCACTGGGCTCCTGCATGCCCCCTGGAGTATTGCTGTAAAGACCCCACCTCATTTACACTCCTGGTGTATTTATTGTTTGTTAATGGAACAGTAATAACGTTTTTTGTGGTTGTGACATGATTGAGAACGAGAGGCCCTGACTGTGCTCCATCGATCGGTGCCTGCAAGCTCAGAAAGTCAATATGGAGCTGTGGGCTCAGTCCATGGCTGGGAGCCAGGGCCACTGCTCAGAGAAGCTGGCTTAACCCTTGAGACACCACAGTCCTGGTTCCTCTTGTGCTATGCTGTCAGAAGGACCAAGGGAGGACTCCGTGTCCTTGGGTGTTGGACTTCATAGAAGATGGGCAAGCTGGGAAAGGTCCCAGCAGTGGTTTGCATCTTGTAGTGGTCTAGAATTAGTGAAAAGAGCTGTGTGACTTTATCAGGCTCTACTTTATCACGGCTCCTACGTGTTGTCAAGCTTTCTCTTCTTCTCCCATTAATGTTCTACTTCTGCTTCAGAGAATTCAGTTGCCTGGCAGGATGGATGCTGACCCTGGCGACAAGGGCGTCTGTATTTCTGCCATTTCTCCAGGCAGGTGCAGAGTTTTGCTGGCCAGGCTCCTCTAAAATGGCCGTGCAAAGCCAATCAGCAGCAGACACAGTGTCCCCAATGGTATTGCTCCACACCCTGCAATGAAAGGCATAATTTGCATTCTAGCACAGACGGCACATCCTGCTTTTTTGAATGTCCAGAACAGAATGTAATACAACATATTGTGCATAGAGAAGGGATGAACTCGCAGAGCCAGGAACTGCAACTGTATTAAAATACTCCTTTTCAATTAGAGCAGCTCCTCTTCTAATTTGTTTATTATTAACCCTGCGCATAGCTCATGAATTTACATGACGCTTATATGTGTACAGTGAGGAACATTTCCTCTGCCTGCATCTGATAGAAAGACTTTTTATTTGCAATCAGGCAGGTGCACTGAATGAATATACCAACAATATTCAGTTATGTTAATATTGGCCAACACTCATTTAGCTCTGTTTTATTCATCATGTCAGTTTGTTCGTTCATCCCAGTTATTTTATAATGTGAAGAAGAGTTTGCGTCACCAGCAAAGCTGCGGAGCAGCCTGTTTGTGGGAGGTTTCAGAGGATTCATCTGGGAGTAGGGTGGTTTAGAATGACTTTGGTTTCTTCGAACAGTGGGAAGAAGAAAATATGGCACTTAGGAGACCAGAGAGCTATTTCGTGGGTACTCCCAACTGGAATGAAGAAAGTGGGAATATGTGCACCTTTGAATGAGGTGAGCTGCAGCATTAGGGCAAACTGCAGCTCTGTCACTGACCCCACTGTGGGTTTGGGAATCTGGGGTGTCTGGGTGCTCTGGGCTTGATCAGCCTGCCTCTTCTGTCTTCCGAGACCATACAGTCATTGTGTCCCAAAGGACTTACTCCCTCTGAGGATAGTTTTGCATCTCAGAAGTATAAGATTCCGAAAATCCATATTGGGGTTCTGAAAGGCTTGATGTTTTCAGGGTGCTCTTTTTTCCATCAGCTACCTTACCTAGAAGACCCCAAATACCGTGAGAAAGATCTTCTGGTGTGTAATTTTCTGAGCAGGGCTGAAAATGGCAGAAAAATGATCATGGAGAGCATCACTTAAAACAAATTTTGAGGCTCAATACTGTGGGCTGCTGGGTACCACTCTGTCCATCACTGCCTACTACTCGTGGAGCCTGAGCACTAACACACCAAGCTTTCAATTTAAACATTCTCTTGAAATATTGCATTAGTGTTTGCACTCGGTGTGACATTTTAGAGCTCTGTACCAAATGAAAGTTGAAGTCCCCATCCCTGGCTGCTATGTATCAGCAAATCTCTATTTACATAATGAGAGTGACACAGATTTACACCAACTGAGAGTCTGCATTTCTTAAAGGCATTCATGAATTTAAATTTACAAAGTGCTTTCTGAGTTTGATTTTCTTCCATATCATTGCCCCCTGCTGCTCCACCCCACAAGGAAAAGACCTCACACACCCAACCTGAAACAAAAAGAGGTGTTTAGTTATAAAAACATCACACCAATGTTTGTCAGGCCAGTACACACAGAGAGATAAACAAGCTCATTCCTGATCCATCATATGCAAGGCTGGAGTTAAAGAAGAGAGAGAGAAAGGAAAGAAAGTTTATTATACAAAATGACTCTGGTCTAAATTATTTATTGTGCTGCTGCTCCAACAGATGGGACTGCCCTCTGCACTTCATCAGTGGAGTCAGGGACTCTGGTGTCAGCCAGACTAAGTAAACAGCATGAATGTAACATCATGAGCTTGTCTTGAAAAATAGATGGGCTGCTGTGTTATGCAGTCTCCCTTTGGTGCCGAGGGAGCTGCTGGGTGGTGGGGTTTTTTGTTTGTTTGGGTATTTTTTTTTTTCCTGATAAATCACTGGGAGCAGCGTTGTTATTCTGGGCCAGTTGTGGTGCAGACCTCAGCTCCTCATCCACCGCACTGCTCTGCCCTGTAATTGTGGTGCAGGTCCAGCTGCAGCCCAGCCGTAGCGATGCACAGGGTGGAGTAGAGGCAGCTCTTCACCCCCACCCTGGTGCTGGGCTCTAATTTAGGGCTTGAAACTTTGGCTTGAACGTTTTGGGTTCCTTTTTAAGAGGACGACGACGAGGGAAACTTTAAGTTGAAGATGGAATAGAGGGAATGGAAGAAGAGGGAACAAAGAGATGCAAAGACGTGCGCCAAGATCTTTCTGGAAGACAGTGGGGCGAGGATGATACTTCAAGTGCTTTGGTTTGGTTGTTTGGTTTTAAAAAAAAAATGTTCTGATTTTTAGGGACTTTGCTATCTATTTCTCTTTTCGTCCTCCCTCTTCCACCTTTATCCATCTCCCTTTGCCTTGCAGGGTGAGTGTGCGACTCTCTGGGGCAAGATCTGGCTCTTCTGTGTCCCTGTGACGTGTCTATATGTGTCTGTGATTTGTGGCAGGGTTTTATTTTCACTTTTGTGTGGGATCTGCATGGGCTGGAGGGCTTCAGGCAGGCTGAAGAGGGTGAGAGCTAAGAGATGTACGTTGCTTGCCCTTCCAAGAGCTTTGCTTCTCCACAGTTGGATTTATTATGGGTTTTTACTAAATAGGGGAGTGTCCAAGTCGTCAAGCTTGGGCTGTTGGCCAGGCAGTCCTGTCTATCTTGCCATGAAATGAGCACTTGGACTCCTCTTAGCCTCATTGGGACATGATCGAGTCACTCTTGTCTTCAGCTGGTGTGAAAATTGCAATTAGGCATGCACATTGAGTAGTTGGATGTCATCCTCATTTTGCATGTAAGATTGCTGGATGGATGTGCAAATTCATGTTAACTTAAACATTTTGCTAAGTACACAATTGGGAATACAAATAATCTATGGGCTGTTTTAGGAAAATTGGCCATATTTGATTATTTATAGCTTCATCAATAGATCTTTTACTGCATTTTTGTTTCTTTAGTAGAAGTTAAAGATACTCAACTGATGTTAATTGAGATCCAGCTCCATTGAGATCCTCAGAGTTTTGCTGATTTACAGCCGCTGACAGGATCACTTCATTGTAGATGGAAGTAGTCTCATAGGACTAAAAAAAAAGAAAAAAACCCAAAAACCAGAAGAGAGAAAATGCAATGACCCAGATGACTGAACATGTACAGAAATGTATTTATCTTTCCACATTTCTATCTCACTGACCTGAGTTATGAAGTTTCATATACTTTTTTTAATAGGTTTTAACAGACTTAACTAAACATTGATTCTATTAACTTGGAACACTGCTTGCTAGAAGATTGCATATGGCAGATTATGGAAATAGGGGGCCAGGATGTAAAAAGAGGGAATTACTAAGAGAAATCCTGTGCTTCCACAGAATTTGCCATAGCGTTGGATTGCCTACATGCTCAGTGTCTGTCAAGATAAGAAGCCTTTTGTATTGTGACATGAGCCTTTGTAGTCACAACTACTTATGTATGGACGTGACTAAAATAATGCTATAGAAGTTTATTTTTATTTCTTCTTCTTGTAGGGACCACCTGGTCGCCCAGGTCTTCCAGGAGCAGATGGTTTACCAGGACCACCAGGGACAATGCTTATGTTGCCTGTAAGTACAAGCATAACTTAAAAAAGCATTTACATGAATCAGGCTTCTTGGTTTTGCTGCTGCTTAGTGCCTGTTCTTGTAGAAGTTTTCCATCCCTTTTACACCAAGGAAATGTTTTCCTTGATATATAAGATGGATCCGGATGGTTGTCTTTGTAAATATACTTTTTGCGAGCACGGTAACTTCTTCACTGATCAAAAGCACAGGGCGAGTGGGTTAAAATTTCCAAAAGTGATCTATAAGCTTAAGTGTTTCTGACTGGGTGTGGTGTTGAAGAGTGAAAGTCATGAAGAAGCAATGGAAGACACTTCCAAGGGTCTAATCACCAGACAGAACCCTCCCTCCTAAGTGAGGAACCTCTAACGGCGCTTCAAAACAGGTGCCAAAATTGTAAGCACCTGAATGAACTGGTCTCTTTTGATGCTCAGTGGTTAATTTGCATTGGTTTTTTTTTTTTCCTACATGAAGCTAGCAAGTACCAAGTCAGCCTTCTTGGTCCTGGGATGCTAAAGGAATGGTTATATTTTGTCTGCTTTGATGTGAGAAAGCCCTAAGGAAACCAGCTGCTGAAAATAAGTGGTTAGGTACCAACGGGAAAGTCTTTAGAGAAAAACCGCAGCACTCTTGTACAGGCTCCAAATGGTAGGGTGATACTTGTGTATGTTCTTGGCAGGATGCCCTGGACAGTCTGGGCCAAGTGCTCAACATGGAGCTTAGCTGGCCATTACAATACATTTGTTGGCCCCTACAGTCACCAGCCGTGGGCCTATAAATTGCATCTCTTTGAATCTGCTTGCCAAGTTCATGTGGTGAGATACCTAGTGCCAACGAAGCAAAATGCAGAGGTGAAATGGAGGTGAAGGAGCCGTCCAAGTAGGTTCTGCAGCCTGGAGAGTCCTTCTTGCAAAACCCCAAGCACGCATGCAATTAAGGCAGGAGAAGGGTGTGTGTCCTGGCAAGTGGGCTTGTAGCTGTTGGGGGTGGAAGAGGCAGAAGAAAACATTAAACTCCTTCCCTTTCAAGTTTGGGAAAATAAAACATTAATGCTTGGGGGTTTTTTTAAAATCTTTTGTGTGCTGGAGGATTCTGGCTTGAACAATAGACCAAACTCTGTTCTTTGAAGCACACTACCACACTTGAGAAATGCAGCCTTTGTCCTGGGGCTAACAGGCAACTACAGACAAATAACCTGATGCAATCCCATCTCTGGGAGTCTCCTGGCCAACAGCATCTGTACAGGGAATATCAGCCCGGTGAGAACTTTGCACTTAGTTTTGAACAGTGGTGTGTGAGGTCCTTACAATTCAGAACCTACAATCCCTCCTATTGTGTGTTACTTTGAGGTGGCAGAGTTTACTGTGTGGGTACGGACATGGGAAAGGGTTGGTTTGTGCCCATGAACTGGGTAACCTGAGAGCACCGTGGTCTGGAAAGACAGTGATGAGATTGCGCCAGTCATGCTGAAAAGAGTTGTTTGGGAGTCAGGCTAATGTGAGGGTGGAGACATAGCAACCCTGTGACCTGCTTTCTCCATCTTGTTCCCTTCAGTTCCGCTTTAGTGGAGGAGGAGATGCTGGCTCTAAAGGACCTCTCGTTTCAGCCCAGGAGGCCCAAGCCCAAGCCATCCTGCAGCAAGCTAGGGTAAGTAAAGGGTGGTGGGGATGTCTCTTGCAGCAGGTGCCTATGGAAGTGGACAAGAACCAGAATAAATGTATGAGAGAGATCTCCATACTTGTACCATCTATGGTGCTAGTGGTGGTAACAGCCTCTCATCTGAGATAGAATTGCTTGTGTGCCTTGAGGTGATGACATCTGGATGGCTTAACCTTTTACTAATGACCAGCAATAGGCCAGACCCTAGAAACATGGTTTTAAATTGCCCACAGCCCTTGGACCAATCCTTCTGCTGGTGCCAGTAGATATAGACCTGTTGGCTTCAATTGTGTTTGCTGTTTATGCTGATAGTTTTGAGAGTCTATATGAACAGTTGTGATATCTGCTGTAGAGGAGGGATATCTATCTTTCTTTTGTGGGGTTTTTTATTGTTGTTGTTGGAGTTGGGATTTTTTTTTTTGTTTGATGTTTTTTTGTGTTTTGTTTGGGTTTTTTTAGTAAATTGTAATTATTAAATGTGTGTCACAGATGTAGCTGTTCCCAGCTCCACAAATCTCAACAGGCAGACTGCAGTTTTCTTTAATGTATTTATTTGGAAATACATGATGACTCTCCATGCAACCTTTTTTTCCTCAGATGACATTATTGATCAATGATCAAATAATCCCTGGTAGTGTTTATTATGTAGGCTCACTGGTGAAGCAAGGTTGGCCATGCACGTTCCCAGTACAACTCCTGTTGCCTGCCTAGATGAGTACCTTAGTGTATAAGGCTTTGTACTCATCTCTTCAAAATAAACAAAAATCCAGCCAGTACAGCTTTGAAATTTTTCTTCTGTGAGTGCTTGTATGAAGTTATATTTGATCGTTGGGATGTTAAAAGCAGAGGTGCCAGAAGAACGATTACAGCACGGGAACATGTAGGGCCCCCACAAACACCCTCCTGCTGTGTTCACCCTGATCTTGCCCAGAAGGGACCAAATTCTGGCTGTAAGCACACCCTTGCAGTAAAGGGGAGAACATAGGATTAGGGAGGCAGATCGCAAAGGGACACGGCTTTGGGGGATTTACTCTTCTCGCTGCCAAACGCAGTCATCCAGGGACAGAGCTTTGGTGTGCTCCTCAGGTCCACAACCCACATCTGTCTGCAGCTGGGTTGTGTGGCTTGGATGTAGCCAATCTGTCATTCAGAGCTGTTGGTGGTCACTTTAGCACAGACTTCTTGGGTCAGTCTGCTGAAATAGGCTAAAAAGCAATTTATTTCACCCTTGAAGGATGGGGTCCATGGGTTTCTCCACCCAGCTGGGTGGCAAATACCCCTTTTAGGTTTATAGTGACATTTTGGCTTAGCTGAGGTTGTTCTGGTTTCCATCCAACTCCATTTTTACAAAGGAGTTTGATTTTATACATATTCAGGTAGAGTGCCCTGATGCCACCAACCACTACATTTTCCTGTCTATTAACCTTGCTCTGAGAATAATGTGGGTGGATTATGTTTCTGGTGTTACCTTGTCAGTCTTAATTTCAAGGCTGCCTACAGTTTTTCCATCAGCATTTTATTTTGCTGGGAAATAGAGGTTTAGACCAGGTAAATATTTTGTGAGAAGCATCTACTTTTTTCAGACTCTCTGTTTTTGTTCTTTTTTTTTCCTGCCTGTTGAAAATCGTGACTATTATGAAAAAACAAGGAACCTCCCTCCACTCACTCAAAGTCCCTTTTCTCTGTGTTGTGGGTTGGTTTTCATTCTTTGGGTTTTTTTTAATTCTCAGGTTTTGGGACAAATTTAAAAAACAAATCCTGGGTGACTTTTGGGCTATGGATAAAAAGTAGAATATTTCCATAAAGGGAAAAATCCATGTCTTGGTTAACTTCAACCTATTGTCAGACAGTTTCAGCTGAAAACCCTGATACCAAAGGAGAAAGGGAAATAAATGACATTTTTTTTGTGGGGAAGTTACAGGATACAGCAGGAAAGGAAAAGAAATCCCGCAGAGGGGAGGATATTTTCCTTCCTTTTTTGGGGTTGTTTTTTCCTTGTTGTTATTGTTAATTGCATTATTAGGCTAATTTATTCCCTTAAAATTTTGCTTTCATTAGTCACTGAACGTTGTCCCAACCGACAGTGTTTCAGCGCATCTTCATTTTAATGGGATGTTGTAAAAAGATGCCACATAACCTAGCATTTGTGCAATATTTATTCCAAGTGCAATCACAAGTAGATTTTAATTACTGGAGTACACAGATAATTACAACTCTTTTAAAGTGTTGAATTGTCATGAGGGAACAAATTGTCCAAGTGATGTTTTAAAGTGTTGACCAGCCCCATTATCCACCATGGAAATTACTAACTTGATGCACGGTTCCACAACTCCTTAGTTATTGAACTAAAAGCCCCTTGTTGCAAATAGAATTGTTGCTCTGTTTGCAGGTTATTAAATAGTAAAAAAAGGAAAAAATCCCTCCAAAATTTAACTCCTAGGATCATAAAGAAAAAATTCTCCTAAACTGAACTGGGATCATAGATATGTGAACAAACCCCTGCTCAGGCAGAGTTTTGTCATTTACTTTCAATAATTTATTGCCAAAATTGTCCATTTTATTGTGTCTATATTTGATGACAGAAAAGGGGATCTGAACTGCTTAGGCAGATTCTCATCTGGCTCTGAAGATGGTGAGGGGACTGGAGTATCTCTCTGATGGGGAAAGGCTGAAAGACCTGGGTCTGCTCAACCTGGAAAAGAGATGAGTGAGAGGAGATCTTATCAATGCTGATCAATACCTAATGCTGATCAATACCTAAAGGGCGGGTGTCAGGAGGATGGGCCCAGATCCTTGTCGGTGGTGCCCTGTGACAGGACTAGGGGCAAACTGGAACACAGGAAGTTCCATCTGAAGATGAAGAAAACTTCTTTACTGTGAGGGTGCCAGAGCCCTGGGACAGGCTGCCCAGAGAGGTTGTGGAGTCTCCATCTCTGGAGAGATTCCAAACCCACCTTGATGCCATCCTGTGTAACCTGCTTGAGGTGAACCTGCTTTGGCAGGGGGGTTGGACCGGATGATCTCCAGAGGTCCCTTCCAACCCCCACCATTCTGTGATTTGTCATTTTTGGGGCATGGAGAGAATGTGTGGCTGGTGGCGTGATAGTAGCTTTGTCCTTTTGCAGCAACGAAGTAGAGACACCAACTAAGCAACGTTTCTCTCTATGTTGCAGCTGGCACTTAGAGGACCAGCGGGTCCGATGGGTCTAACAGGACGACCGGGCCCCATGGTAAGTGAATGGATGGGCAAGCAAGGATGGAGCAGAGCCAGCTGGTGCCAGCTCCATCGGTTCTCTGGGTTACCTGGATGAATGGCTCTTTTTTAAAAAGGTGTGAATCTTCCCTCTGGCTTTGTTGTGGAAAAATTTAATATATCGCGTTCTTTGTCCAAAGGGACCCCCGGGAAGTGGAGGGCTAAAGGGAGAAGCTGGAGAAATGGGACCTCAGGTGAGTAAATCAAGCAACTGGGGGGACCTGAGGGAAATGAAGGTATGGAGCAGCCAGTCTTGCTTTAGAGGCTGTGATGGAGTGATTCAGTAACCCAATGCCAGCTGAAAGCAGGAAGGTGTGGGAGCATCTGTTTTGCATATAAACATCCCTCCAAGTATCCGAATGCAGACTCAAGACATAATTTTAAGCCAACAGCATAAAATTCTGCAGGTGCTAGTCCTTTCCTGCAAAGACATCCTGTAAATACAAGATAGGTTGGAGCATGGGGAGTCCACTAATGCTCAGGAAATTGTTCTTCCAAGCTGTAAATCCTGCATCAAGGGAAGATTCCCATTTTCTAATGGTGGGGGAAGTAATTTGTCTCCACCCTGTGGAGCTGATTGCAGGGCAGAAGTTTTCTCATGGATAAATGTGTGCAATTCCTGGCCAGAGGTGCTCAGTCTTCACCCTTTCCTGTGTATTTCGGACCACAGGCTCTACTCAAGGGATTCACATCCCATTTTGTAGTCCTGGTGACCCTGATGACCCCAGCAGCACCTGATCTGTGATACCAGCAGGTGCTGGGTCTATCTGTCATGCTTTTGGGTGATGGCATTTCTTCTTCTCCCCTTGATGCACTGCAGGGTCCACGAGGCATCCAGGGTCCTCCCGGTCCAGCAGGAAAGCCAGGTCGTAGGGTGAGTGTCCCGGGAGCTGCGCTGACGACTGCGTTAACTGCAACTTCTGCTAGAAATTGTTTCTGCTGCCAGTTTCTGAGTGCCGAGAGCATTGCACAAGAGCAGGCTGGTGGCCAGCCAGTGACTTGTCCAGGATCTCTCCATCCATCTGGGCAGACGCAAATGAGGATGAGAGTTAAAAGCTGGCCATTGTGGGGAGAACTGCAAGTCCATGCTTCCCATTCTTTTGTCTTTGGCCTCCCCTTTCCCCCTCCTCCCCCCCTTTTTTTTTTCCCTCTGTGAGGTTGTAGCTGCATAAATACTTGAGGTTGGTTTGGACAGTCTCAGTAGGGTGTGAGGAGGATCCAGTCCCCAGAAGGTTTCTGGAGCTGATATGAATTGTGCTTGCTCACTCTATCAACATCCATGATGCTGATTTTTATTTTACACCATCCTCTGGCTTGTTGTGATTTGATTTGCCAGAGGAAGAAATAAGAAAGTGAGGTTGTAGCTGCATAAATACTTGAGGTTGGTTTGGACAGCCTCAGTAGGGTGCGAGGAGGATCCAGTCCCCAGAAGGTTTCTGGAGCTGATATGAATTGTGCTTGCTCACTCTATCAACATCCATGATGCTGATTTTTATTTTACACCATCCTCTGGCTTGTTGTGATTTGATTTGCCAGAGGAAGAAATAAGAAAGTCTTTTGAGGGATCAACTTGTGGCTTTCTTAAAAAAAAAAAAATTAAAAAAATCTCTTTTCAATTTGCAGATGTCATCATTAGCATATCTTAAAATGTGCTGGAAGATAATTATTTCAAATTAAAGTTAAAATCAATGACCATGTCCCAGCATCCCTTGTAGTGAAGTAGCTTTGCTGCCATTTGTCTTACATCCCTCATTAGCACCAGGCTGAGCCTGGGATGCTGCTTCAAAAACAGTCCAGCATTTTTTCCTTCGCCAAGGGAAGCTGCTCCCCAGCTGAGGAGCTCTGACTTAAATAAAACTTCACTTGGTTGCAGACCAAAGAGCAGATGTCCCTGTGGTCCTTGTCTTACCCTTTGTATTTGACTTTGCTTTTCCCTGTTTCAGGGACGAGCTGGCAGCGATGGTGCCCGGGGAATGCCAGGCCAGACGGGACCGAAGGTATCGCCTCATATTTGTGTGGTTTTGGAATCTACATCTGCTTTTAGCAAATGTGAACTGAGGGACCCTGGGCAAAAGGAGCCCACCTTCATTGGAGGAGGTTGTTGAAATGGTCCAGCAACTCCTGTCATGGGCTTCACATTCGGGAGAGGGAAGTTAAACACACACCTGGAAGGCAAAACAGCAATCTTTCTTTTCTTTTCTTTTCCCTTTTTTTTTTCTTTTGATGCAACTTTTAAAAATTGCTAGATTATTTTAAGAATGAAATATGCTCCCTTGGCTGCAGTTATAGAACAAATACTTTGGAATCCCAATTATGAAAAACAAACATGAACGAGCAGTTGGAAACATCTTAAAATACAACTACCAAAAAAATACCTATTAACTGGGTGAGGAAATGTAGAAGGCGTGGTGAGGAATTTTAATACCCTGTGTTTTTATGTGAGACAAAATCCCTTCATTCAGCTGTGATCTGGTGGTATTACCAAGCAAGAAAGAAGCTGTTCCACTGAAATTGAATGCAGAGAAAGTTTGCTCAGGGAATCATGTATCAGAAGCTTTTAAGTACTTTATTATGTAGGTATTTAAAGCTGGAATAGATGGGGGGTTTTGATACAGAGACAGGAGGCTACAAATCTGTTATCCAGTAAAGGGCTTTAATGAGCGTTGACTGCCCTCAAAGGAGGGGATGCCAGGGAAGAACGGGAAACAGAATAATGAGCAGCTCTGGAAAGGAGAAGGAGAATTGCTTTTAGTGGGGACAGAGTGATGTTTTGGGACCTACTAGAAGGAAAGAGCTGTTGGTTCCCCTGGGTGCATCTTGACCAGCCTTGGCCAGACCAGTCTGTCTTCCAATCTGCTCAGGTGTAATCGACATTTCTTTCCTTGCTAATAGGTAAAGGATTTGTGGAAAGGAGGAACTGGTACTATTTTCACATGCCATTAGTATGTGAAAAATACAAGTGGCTTCACCTCTTTATGGAGAAAAAAGGACTTTTCTATGTAATGGGTGGTGCTCACTATCTTCTGCCCTGGGCACTAGGAGATGGTGTCACCTGGGATTTGCAAATGCCTGTGTGTCCTCTTTCTCTTCTAAAGAGTTGAGGCTTTTGGGAGAAGGCTGTCTCTGTGCATTCCTGTCCCCATTTCCCCCCAGAACACAGGAGAGTGGAACAGGGCTCAAGTTTGAAGAGAAAGCCAGTTACAGCTTGCCATGGGTTCACCATGAGCTCTCCATGTGCCATCCTGGAGAAGCTGTGTGGGCATGGGTGGAAGCCCCGGGAAGGCAGGTTCCTGCCATCCACCTGCTCTAGGACTAAGGGGATTTTGCTTTTCCTTTCTCATACTTGAATTTTTCAATGTTGCTCGTTTCCTTTGGGAGCATCCCCAGACCTGGGCAGGGGACATGAGGAGGGCACTTAGGGGATGTTCGCACAGTTGTTTGCAGGTGGATGCTGGCAAGTGCTGCCTGCGCTCTGCCAGCCTGATGTTGTGTGACTTTCTCAACACAGTGCCAAGTAGAAAGGAACGTGCCCAACCTTTTAGTAGAGCTTGTTATTTTCAGCTTTGGCATCACGCTTCCTAGAAGGATGCCCAAAACTCTGTTTGGCCCAGAGCTGCATTAACAGCAGCAGGAGCTACTGGAGATGGGTAAGAAAAGAGGTTTACTGGGAGCCATCCTTACCTTGGTTTGCCTTCCCAGCATGAGTCATTTGGGGCTCTATATCCCCTGTACATCCCTGCTCTCAGCTGGCTTAGAGCAGGCTGCTCTTTGCGGGGTGACATGGAGATGCCCCTTTCACAATACCCTTAAGCATTCGTGTGAAGGTGTGAAGTCACCAAATTTACCAGCTGATAATAGGTAAAAATGATAGGTTTTTAGGTAGCAAAAAAACCCCAAAAACTGTCTTCTGATCTTGACTTCATTAAGACACTTTCCAGAATTTATTTGTATATATATATTTGTTTCCTTGGTGTGTCCAGGAGGATTAAAAGGATGTGTGGGATGGATTGCAGTCAAGCTCACGGTGGTGTTTGGGGACCTGTTAGCAGACATGGAAATACCAGTGTCCAGTTTACTCACCAGTGGATTGTTGTTTGTAATTCTATGGAATTAAAAATAAATAAATAAATTGGATTAGAAGGACCTGTCTGGAAGGGGGGTGCTTTAGATACTGGAGAAGTCACCCAGAGAAGCTCTGAAATCCACATGGAAAAACATTTAAAACTGTAGGTGCTGGGGGAAGAGGGAGGAGGAAAAATGACTGAGTTTTTTTCTTTTTTTTTTAATCTATAACTTTAAAATAATCAGTGGTCTGATGGGAGGTGATGGCTGAATGCCTGGGGGAGAAAATTGATCCCTCCTTGGCACAGAAAGGAAACAAATTGGAAAGATGTTCAGCAGCAGGTGGAAATGTGTACTAAACTGGTTTTTCTTTCAGGGTGACCGAGGCTTTGATGGCTTGGCTGGTTTGCCTGGTGAGAAAGGAAATAGAGTAAGTGATCTTCCAATTGTCTTCTGACCATGGTCTGTAGTGAAACCTTGGCAGGAGGAGGTGACTGGGAGATGCTGGGAGGAGGGCAGTTATTGCTGGGGACAGGCCACAGTGATGCAATTAAGAGAAGATGAGAGTGTCCCGTGAGAGTGTATGGGGTGTCATAGCATCCCTCACAGGCACAGCATTCACAGGCTGGGAAGCTGTAAGATCTTTCTGAGACTGCTTGAAATTGGAAAAGGGGGGAAAAAATTGCCTTAATAAAATAAAGGCTAAAAAACAAAGCAAGAAGCAAAACCTGCTTTTAAACAGTGCAGTTGTGGATGTAAATTGCAAAAAAAAAAAGAAAGAAAAGGATTCTTCTCTTTGCTTTATAATTAAACAGTGGGGAGAAAAAAATGCAAGAAGCTGGTTATTTTGGCAGGCTGTTCGTGCAAAAAAAAAAAGAAAGAAAAGGATTCTTCTCTTTGCTTTATAATTAAACAGTGGGGAGAAAAAATGCAAGAAGCTGGTTATTTTGGCAGGCTGTTCGTGCCTCCCCTCCCTAGAGAGCACAGCCATTGCTTTATAAAACAAGGGAGTGTTTGAACAATGGAGATGGAATTGTGATTACAAGCTACACAGGAAAGGGAAGATAGTGCCTGAGAGAGATGCTTAATCAGCCAGAAATGGAATAGTGTACCTTGGGTAAAGCAAGAACTGTGTGCAGAGCATGAGTCCCTCTCCTGAAGGAGCTACAGTGCCTGCTTGGTTCCCAGGCACCTTGTGAAGTGTCACCAGAACATCCCATGAGCTCCAGTCCCTGCAGGACATTAATCTGACAGTGCTGGAGCCCACGTGTGGTCCTGAGCAGGTAGAGAAGGACTTCTGCTTCAGAGAGCATGGGGAGATGAGAACTGTGAGGGTGTGAGGACCTTCAGCACATGGTGCAGACAGAAAAGAGAAGCCTGTTGCTTGGTTTCTCAACGTTACCTAAGATTTTATATTGCCAGAGTGTCCCTGCCTTCTCTGCAGCTTTTCTGTTTTTTCTTCATAGGGTGAGCCAGGCCCCCATGGACCCCCAGGGGCACCCGGAGAGGATGGGGAGAGGGTAAGTCCATGTCTGGATTCGGCAATCCTTTGAATTCATAATGAGCTCCTGTAAACAAGAAGCAGATGCAATATCAGCCCAGAGACGTGGCAAGAGCAGCCAGCACCGGTGTGTCATCTGCTGCCAGTCAGTAGTGGCAGCACCTCATCCTTGTGTCCTGGGGAAGTTGTGGTGGCCGTGATGAGAGGGAAGCAGAGCAAGGGGATGGGAATAAAAGGGAAAAGAAGGATTTGTTTTTAGAGATCTGGTCGGAAAACTCAGTTTTTCTTAAAGTAACACAAGAAAAATTTGATCCTTTAGGTGTGCCAACTACCACTTCTGATTTTCTGAGATCCAGCAAATTGCAGCAAGATTTGGGGAACAGAAATTCCAGACAGATGTGGAAATCCAAGATTAAATTGTTTGCTTCTCCTTCCACAGTGTTTAGTCAATGCTCCAAGGCCTTTAGCAAAGCTCAGATTAAGTGATTACAGGTCTAGAAGGGCTGGTTTAAGAGGAGGGATTGAAAACGCTGAATCCATACCTGTGAGGAGCATGTGGTTTGATCAGAGGAGTGAGGATGGGTTTCCCAAGTTCTAATCCTCCTCCATGATGTTTTCTTTCCACCTTTGGCTATTTGTTTCCTCTGTAAAGCACAGAAAATAATTTCTTCCTCACCACAAGGTTGTGAGGATTAATTAGTTGCGGCTGTAAAGCGCTTTGAAGTTGAAAAGACCAAACCTGTGTTTTGTGGGGGAAGAGCAACTGTCTGGAGAACTTTAATTCCAGAGAGAAAAATAAACCATTCAAGGTGTGTGGGGAGGGCATAGCTGGGAAGAAGAGTGGGACTTTTATCAACAGAAGATGAGGGTTTACAAGGGCTGGCTTCTGGGATTCTTTTCCTAAGAGGGAACCTCAGGTTGGGAATCACCATCCAATACTCCTGGGGGATTAGTGGGGCATCAGCAGGAGATGGGAGTGGAGTGGTGAAGAATTAACCCTTTGCTGCCTCTGTTTTATTTGAGAAGCCCTAATTTGGCTAAGTCACGTTCTCAGGGCATTGCTCCCACGTTGGCTTCCTGTTCAGTTTGGTACTAAATCTTGCGGTTATTGACTCGCACGCCCCGAATTGTTTCTGCAATATCTTGTCTATTAGCAAAATCCATCTTTATAAACATCAACATGAATTATGAAGTATCCTTACAGCATTTCTAATCCTTGGTAAATTCTGCACACACATTAGTACTCTCTAGGCTTACGAGGTCTTCCTTATGCACGGCTACCCTTTTATTACTCCAGGGAAGCTGGTTTTCTGCATGAATCTTGTTTAACAAGAATGAAACACCTGTGATGTGACTGAAATATAACTAGTTTATATTCTGTCTCTTTTGCTGCTTCTCTTTGCACCTTTGCTGCTGAGCAGGGAGATGATGGAGAAGTTGGACCCAGAGGTCTACCTGGAGAACCTGTGAGTATCTCCTCCTTGGGCTTGACATACAGCAGCATTACTTTGATACGGTAACGGTGGTTTAGGGGTCCTGTGGTGCTAAGCAAGACCCCTGAGGTCTTGCAGGGACTGAGCATCTCTTGCTTGAAGATTCATGTGAATAGTTTAGAGAGTATCTGTGCTTTAACAACTTTGTTTTGCTTTGTTTTCACTAAGATGGCTACCAAGAAAAAAAGATGCTTTCTAGGGTTTTTCGTTTGATTGAGCTTTTGTGTTTGGGATTTTCTTTGTTTGTTTTAATGAGCAAAATTCTCATTGATTTTGTTTGCTCAATGGCTAGTCTCTGAAAAAACTGCAATTGTAAATGTAAAGCTTAGCTTAGATTGGTCTCATACCTTTTCTGCATGTATCCTTCTTCCTGCTGTGTTATGTAGGATTCGGGTAAGTAGGCTGTGGTAGAAATTGTGCATGGTAAACATAGGTGGAATATGGTTTTCATGGGTGTTCATAGCAAACTCCAGTGAGAAAAGGCTTTGTCCACTATTTCATGGGTAACGACAGCAACTAGCCACACAGCTCCCATCCTTACACATGTAGTTTTGTGTGGTGTGAGTGATTCTTTTTACAACTCAGGATGAAATCCTGGCAGGATTGAGCTCAAGGGGACTTCCAGCTCTGACTTCAGTGGGGTCAATATATTGTTTACAGTGCACAAAACATAAAGCTGCAGAGTTTGTCAATGTCTGGACCTCTGCATGCTGCCAACACCGGAGCAGCTGGACCAGGGCTAGTGAAGGAGGAAGGGAGTTCCTAGTATCAATAAAGTTAAGGAGAAAAATCTCCTGACCAAGCTTAAGAAATGCTTTCAAGGAGCGTCCCACCGAAAAGAAACAGTTGGGTTGTCAATTTGAGACTCTGAAAGCAGTTTTTACCCCAATGCCGAGTAGTTTTTTCTTTCTTGGCAGTGGTAAACTCTGCTTTGGCTATCTGTAGGTTTTTATGTGTAGTACAGTTGTTGGCTACTTATTTAATCCAAAATACATTTCCTTTGTTACGAAAAGAACATTAACAAGCTATCATTTACCATCAACTTTGCTTTCAAAATATCTTATTTTGTTGTTCTAAGGCCCAGCGTGGTGGCCTGAGAGTAATTGATGAGAACTGTTGGATACACTTCATATGAGAAAGGGAAGGGTTGGCATTTAATGGGCTCAGTGGAACTAAATTATAGATGAGATGTCTGATTAACTTCTGGGAAAGATTAATCAACCCAGCTATCTCCTTAGCACATGTCTAAGCAATAACTTGTGGGTTATTAACTTCTTAAAAGCATTTATGTGCTCAGGTAACACAGTAACAAAAGAGGAAATGAAATGATGATAATGCATGCAGGGAAGCTTATTTTTCTTTCAGCAACACAAGTGAAAATATCCGTGATAGCCAGAAGAAAGGTTTAAACACCATTACAGGAAACTTTTTGTCATCAATATATACACCTTAAATCTGCATGTTTGCCTCTTTCTCTGCCCTGAGCCAAAAGAGGGTCTTGAGGGTCTTACCAAATTTAACAGCAACTGAAACTAGTGGTGGGACTTCAAATTTTCTTTCTCTTCATCCTCTTCCATTTTCTTCCAGTTCCCATCACCAGCTGATACAACAGAGTTTCTGCTCTGCTGGGGCTCAGTGTGCAAAGCTTTAGCCCATGAAGGTCTCCAGTGGCTGAGACAGACCACCCAGTCAGTGCATCCAGTTTGAGTGGCAAACTGATTTTTTTGTTGTTGTTGTTTTTTTGTTTTTTCAGGATCAAATTCCCCCCAAGCCTCTAAGAGCAGACACTTTCTTAATGCCTCCTATTTTACCCTGTAACATTTCATTTTAATTCCTCTGTCCTCTCTGCATCATAAAAAAGGACATATAATATTTGGGCAGACAGATGAAACTGCCCATCAGTCAAGGACAATTTTCCTCTGTGACAGTGAATGAGTACTATCCTTATAAATACCCAGAGTCCTCCTATGGTCCCTAATTTAAGAAAGGGCTTGTGTTTCAAGGGTGAGCTTTCAGATCTGCAGCTGAGTGCACACAAGAGCCCCTCCCTCTCCTTTTCATGACAAACTCACCTGAAGGCTCGAGGCAGAGGAAGTGCCAGGGTGTGAGCTGCAAACCCTCCTATTGAATCAGTACAGTTCTCCTGCCATGGCTCTGCTTATTCAATGTGTTGCTTCAATCCTACCAATTTCCATTAAGATGATGATGCAAGGTTAAATCTGGTGAGAAAGCTAGAAATGGAAAAAAACCACCATGATACCAGGAGTCCTGACTGGTTAAGGTTTAAGAACTGAATGTGTTTGAAAAATGTACGTTTATGTTGCAGGCTGAAAACATTTTCCAGCTTTGCTAAGTTGTGTAGATGGTCAATGATAAAAAGTAAATCTGGAGAGATTTTGAAATGCTGACCCTGATGATCTGTTCGTGGTATCAGGTCATTCTTCATAATGCTCCCTGGCTAGAATGACCTGGCCTGACTACAAAGTGTTTTGCACCATGTGAGTTACAGGGTAACCCAGGAATATAATTAAATTAATTTTAAAAAGTTAAAGTGGGTCTTCTTCCAATGCAAAGAATAAATGTCTGACATTATTTACCTTTATAATTCAAGGTTATATACACACAGGATTTCTCTGACTGGTCTGTAAATCAAGAAAGCTGTTGTTTTTGCAAACCAGCAAAGTCATTTCTGTGCCAGCCCTGACACTGCCCTGGGCCCAGCGATGCTCAGCCGTTCACTAGTGCACCCCGATCCACACTCACGCAGCATGAAGTGAGGGACTGGAAACACTAACCCTGCTTGTTTTCCCCCAACAGGGACCTCGAGGACTGCTGGGACCAAAGGGGCCACCAGGACCCCCAGGGCCACCGGTAAGTTCCTGAGGCTGCTGCCCTCCTCCAGCAACCAGCTGAGCTTTTTGGGCAAAATACCCTCTCCCCATTAGTCATTCAAGCAGATAATACAGCTGTGTAATGTTACACATCTGTGCAACAAAAACAACTGGTGCTGGAAAAAGTTATGGCTCAAAGTCCATTTTCTCCCCTGTTTTCAGTGGTGTCACGTCCATTTCCAACAGCTCAAGATTTGACCCACCTGAGTAAATATTAATGCCTCGCTCAGGCTGAAGGGGAAGAATGAAAGTTATTAACGCAGTGGCTTTGCTATTAACTTTTGCCTGAGGGCTGGTGAGACTTTAAAGCAGTTTGTTCATATTTCGGGTGAAAGCCAAGGAAGGAACATGCCGTTTTTTATTCGAGAGACAGTCACCTTATCTGTTGTGTGCTGCTGGAAGTGCTGAGACAGGAGCTCTCTCTAAATCACTGTAGCTCAGTGAAGTCCCAGAACTTAAAAAAGAAAACCTGGGCTACTGCTAGAGCTAAAGGTGTTGGCATTTAACAGTGAGCTTTTTGAAGCCCTTAACCCTTCCTGGGACGTGAAGATATCTGTGCTTTGACCTCCCAGTCCCACTGAAATTTAATGAGGGTTCAGGATCTGCTCCAAAACTCTCATATTGCACGATCCTGCTGTTACACCCAGATAAGTTGCTCAACCAGAGCAAAACAGTGGCAGGGGAATTCCCCTTAATGAAGATGGCCAGCAGGACACCTCCAGTTGACCATGTACCATGTTACCTACACCCTTAATGAAGATGCTCAGAGTGTGTTTGACCCCAGTTGCCTTTTGTGGTCAAATCCTCATTTTGGCATGAGGCAGTGCAACCCCGTTGGCTTCACCCACTGCCTTGTTGAACGATGTACTCGCATCCTGAGCAAGGTCTTTTGCCAGGTTGTTCCTTGGCATTTGCTTCTCCACTCCTGCTCACTCTGAGGCAATCAGCTGTGATACTTAGCCAGGATTTGCTCAACCTGGTGCTGATTCTGCCTCACAGGCGGGTTAAACCAGTGGGGAAAACACTGAAATGACTTTTTAAAGTGTAAACTGGATTTGTGGAATTGGTTGCTTTACCTTTAGAAAAATTGTTCCCTTTCCACGTGGTCCAAAGGGTCTCCTGATGTTTTATTATTTTTAAGGCAATTTCTCTGCTTTTGTGGTGCAAAATAACAAGATACTTTCTTAGTGTTGGTTTTTAAATCCTTTCTCAGGGTGTGGCTGGCATGGATGGACAAACAGGTCCCAAGGGGAATGTGGTAAGTTTTTACTGCAAATTTCACAGATGATTCAGACATTATATAGAGCGAAATGTAAAATGTACTTTGTTAAATTAGATTTGCCAATTGCTTTTTAGCCTAGTCTAGATTCCTATCAGAGCCTGTGAAAAACCACAGAGGGTATTGTCCTACAGCAAATGGCTGTTAATTTATTATAATTTCTGATGGAATTACACATTATTTCCCCATGAAAGATCAAATATTTTCATTGAGATGTGTGTTGTTCTAATGAATATCAAAATATAGTAATTAAACTGAGGGGGAAACAAGAGTCTTTATGTGCCTCATGCTTTGTACTAATTGGATGAAATGGACTCCCAGTGCAAAGCCAGGTTGTGTTAAAACCTGCTCAGCTCATTTGGGCTGTGTGAGTGTGCCCTGAAATAACTTCACCTCTCCATATCCCACAACAGAGAGATGTTTCCATTTCCCAGGAGCTCTTGGTCAATGGTGGTGGGTTTGAGAGGGTGTTGGGATGCTGTGCAGGGGGCAGGAGCTGCGGTGCTCGAGGAAGCACCAGCTCTGCTCTCGCCTGTTGTGCCTTCAGCTCTGCCCTTGTCTCCTTGCAGGGTCCTCAAGGTGAGCCGGGTCCCCCAGGACAGCAGGGTAACCCAGGTGCTCAGGTAAGAAGAAAACTCATTTTCCATGGGTAGGAAAAAGGAATGATAATTTTGAACAAGCTTCACTCCCCCACCAGAGATGGGACCAGCAGTACGGAGATTTGCTGGGAATTGGCTCAATGATACATCACTGACCCAAAATCTTCCTGAAAATACTCCCAGTTCAGATCTCCCCAGTTCTCACCCGATTTTGCTGCTGTGATGCAAAGGCAAACCCAGGTCCAAGCAGTCTCTTTGTCTGAGTCACATCTTGTAGCTCATGTCTGATTTTTAGCATCCATGTTCCAGTTGCTCTGGAGCCAGATAGGCAGTACAGTTGTCCAAGCCTTGCTGTCAGCTTCTCCAGGGTGCTCAGCAAATCTTGCTCCTCAGAGCATCTCTGTTTCCATGCTGGGGCTGGGCCTGGCTGCACATGGCAGAGCAGAGCAGCTCTCCAGAGGAGGCACACTGTGCAAAAATGAAATTTTATTGTCTCTCACAAGACATTTTGAGAATGAATGGAGCTGGAGAAATCCCCAGCTATCCCAGGCACTAGAATGATGCTCAGCTTGAGGCACTGCCAAAATGTATTTGGAAGAAATAACTTGTTCCTTAATGACCCTAGGTTGGTTTTTTTTTTCTTTTTCACAGGGTCTTCCAGGTCCACAAGGCGCGATCGGTCCCCCAGGAGAGAAAGTACGTTTAAATACTGCAGCTCTGACTTCAGACAACTGTTGCCATTAATATGCATTCAGCTGCTCCTTTGCCCCATATGCAACATCTGTTTGCAGCTGTGCCTATGAAAGTCTAATGCCTCTCATTCCAGACAGAACAGAGACAAGAAAGCACGGTTTACCTCTAATTCATAATATTTGTATTCGTTTCCCCTCTTAAGAGAAACATTTTGAAGGCAGCCTATGGTAAAACATGAGGAGAGGACTGAAAATTGTCTTTTTTTGTGGGCTAAATGCCTGGAAGTCTGAGTGGGATGGTAATGGGAAGAGCTTATGGATTTGGCTCACTCAGCTGAGATGCACTCCCTCTGCTCCTCCCTGCCTGCACCAACTCTCTATGATTCTTCCTTACTGTTGTCGTGGGGTCAGTGCTGGTCCTGCTTCTCCCCAGCAGCCTGGGACCATCGGGATTGAAACAAGGGGAACAGTTTTGCCTACAGAGGAGTAGTTCTCCTGTTGAGTAAGGACATGATGTGCGTCCCATTGTGCATCCTGGAAGAAATGCTTGCGTTGGCAGCGTGGGGTGGACCCCAATTATCAATAATTTCCCTGTGAATGAGCACATTACCAGTTCTGTCCGAAAAAGGGCTCTCAGGATTCAGTGCTGAGGCACACAGAGCAGCAGCACTTCTTGATTGTGTGAGCAATCAATGGGTTGCTTAATTAAAATGGGGCAGCTCCACTCTTCTTTTGTCTGTTAATCACTTTGCTGTTTGCCACCAAAACATGGGCATTTCTTGATCCAGTGAGCCCCAGAGTTTGATATCCTCCAACTTCTCCTTATACACGTGTGCAGCATTGTGCCCTTTTGGCAGGACAGCAGCTTGGTGCCTTGTGCCCCAGCTTCTCCTGCTGAGCTCTCATTGCTGTATCATGTCTGGATGTGTGAGGTGCCAGCACTAGCACTGCAGCATCCCAGGGTGCTGGAACAACTCTGCCCACAGAAATAATCAGATTCCCTACAGGTCATGGCAGCTTTTCCAACAGACTCGCCTCTTTCACAACTAGGAAAGGCAAGAAATGTGTCTGAAAAGCCTTGTCTTCTGATGCTCTGGAGACTCTGACCATTGCAGCTGTTGATTTTCTGTTTGTTTTTAGGGCCCGCTGGGCAAACCTGGTCTTCCTGGCATGCCTGGTGCAGATGGACCTCCGGTAAGTCATCCCCTCCTGGGTCTCTGCTTGGCAGCAGGGCTGTGGGGTCTGATCCTGCAACCTGCCCGTCCTGGGGTGCACCATGGGCTCGTGGAGCAAGGTCAGGCTCACCCTGCCTGTATTTTGGCTGGGTTGCATGGTTTGAGTTTGAGGAGCCCTGTCCCTGCTCCAAGCTTTGCTCAGCCTTGCAGTGCAGCACTAGGTACTTCTCACCATCTCTTTGGGTCTCTCTTTCCACTCCTCCCGGTTCTCCTCTCTGTTTTATGTAGATTGGCAGCTCACCAAGGTAGGGATGGTTTCCTGTGTGTGTTTGTGTACCGCAGCACGATCACGGGGTGGTCCTCATCTTGTTTGGGGCTGCTGGGTACTGCTGCAGAATGGTGATAAGAACAGGTTGAAATTGCTTATCTGTGTTGTGTTCTTGCAGCTTCCTTCTAATCCTACTGTAAACATCATTTGCTCCTTGCTCTAAAATTGGTCTTAAGAATCTCTAGCCTTTAAACCTGATCTCATTTTTACACACCTCAGAGGTACCTGGTTTTAAGAGTGACAAATGTAAAATAGTTATAATTCCACTAATGCAAATTCAGAGCATGACAAAAAGAATTACATTTCCCACCCTGGGATTAGCATTCCTACAGAGAGCATTTCGAACATTCGTACAATTGTTCGCTGAGTCAACAGAGCAGCTAAAGCAAAGCTCAGAACATTTCTAAAACTGTAGCTTTTGTTGTGAAATTCCTACAGAAGCCTCCAGGGAAGTTCACCTGGAGAAGATGCCGGGTCTATTTTTATGCAGACTGAAGGCTGTATAAGACCTGCAGGCTGAGCATGTGTGAGTGTGCATGGACACAGGTCCTTTGCCACAGGTAGTCCCGTAGTTTGCAGACAGTTTGTAGGTTTGTAAGCATACGGATTGTTCTTTCCAAGGACAAAAACCTGCCCGTGTTCTCTTTATAGAAACTGGTCTTGGAAGATATCTGAAAATCTCTGAGGGCCCGAAGCATCTCACTGCAAAAGCCAACCGAGCTGCTTATCAATTTTTGATCTTAGTAGCAGTGATGGAGAAGGATGTTTTGAAAATGGTGATGATTTAGTGCAGAGTGGACAAAGGCTTTTGAAATCTTGCTGTTTTCCATTTTGCCTCCCCTGGGGTGCAGGGAGATACCAGGATCTGAAGGCAAGCACAGTTATATGACCTACCTTGTGCACTGATGCTCCTGGTGTGATTTAAACTCACAGGACAAATCCAGATTGCATTTTCTCCTAAATTTTGTTGATGTAAAAATGACAGATGTCATTTTGTTTCTTTATTAAACCAGCTTGTTTTATGAAATCTGGCTTGTCTGACATTTCCATTCTGAAGACGGATGATGGAAAATAATCTTATGATTTTCCTTGTTATATTGGTAGAAAGTAATTTGTGTGGAGAGGAGAGTTCATAAGTAAAGAAACCATTGAGTGCAGAAGATCTTAGTGGCTTTAGAGCATTTGGATGTGCTTTCATCATCTTAATAAAATAAAAGATCCCTGGGTGTGCAGTGAGTGCCCTTGTGGGGGCTTATTGTTTTGTACAGACATCGCCAACCAAAGAGTCATCTTCCATCCTGGCTCTAGGAAATCAACACTAAAAACAACTTTCATGGATTTCCCCCATTTCTCACTAATCCTCCAAGCTATATCTGAGGCAGTTCACACTTTTGTTTTCTGCTGACTGCAACCCCAGCAAAAGGCTTCTAAAGGCTATGAATAAGAATGTGTTGGAAACTCTTGGATGTTGAGTTATTCAGCATCAAATCCCAAGAGGAATGCTGGCCAGCATCCAGCCAGCCGCCGTCTAGCAAGGACGCAGGTTAGCTGAGCATTTGTCATGAGATCTTGTAATGGACTCTAGGAATTAGGAAATTAATGAGAGGATCTGACCAGTCTGGGCACCTTGTGACCTTCACAAGTTTGCTAATGCATTGAGTTAATTGTATCTGGTTTCCTGTCTGAGAAATGTATATGCTGCTTGCTGCTGGACTCACTGAGGTGTTCTAATATCTGAAGAACATTGCAAAATGGTTTGTGCTTGTCTGCTGAAAGATGGGGAAGAGTAAAAGTATAAATAATCAGGTAGAATACAATCAAGGATCCAAATGCTGCTCTCTTCCTTTTGGGGAAACTTTACTCTTTCAAGTTGGCTTCAGGGGGGCTACTTGTATCAGTAAGAGCTTCCTTGAGAGCAGCTGTTCTCTTACAGATAAATCATAGCTGCCTGAGTGAGCTTCTTGACTTCTGAAGCATTAGACATGCACTAAACCCATTTTCCATTTCTCTTTGTCCCTTTTATTAATAGGGTCATCCTGGCAAGGAAGGTCCTCCTGGAGAGAAGGGGAGTCAGGTAGGTATCAGCACCACCCTCATCGCTGCTAAGGGGACAGTCACAGTAGCCGGATGGACTCGGATGGCTGTTTGATGGCTGTTGCCATTTCCACCTGGTCTGAAGCAGCTAGATGGCTGGGATCTTTGTTTTCCACACCCTCTCCTTATTGCTTGCACCTTTGTGTTGATTTTTTGTTTTTCGTGTTTTTATTTTTTCACCCCAGGGTCCACCAGGTCCTCAGGGCCCCATCGGTTATCCAGGACCACGTGGAGTCAAGGTAAGGAGGATGCAGAAGCAGTGTCTATGGCATTGCTCATTCAAATCGAGTTCTCCAGCTTGTGCTGGAGGTGGACACTGCTAGTGGGCACAGATGCCCTACCAGGATGCTTGCGTATATTAACCATATTAACTGCTCAAAAAAGCTTTGGTCCAGCGTTGTCTTGCGCACCATGAGGAGATTATAGTGCCCTACTCTCCAGTAACCCCTCCTAGCATCATTCAGTGCTTTGGAGAGATTTTTCTTTTAATTCTTCATGAGCATGGCTCAGTCCCATTCCAATAATATCCAGTTTACAACCAAAGTAAATCTCAGCCAGAATGTGAAAACTTCAACAAGGCTTGTTAATAAAACAAAATAGCCTATTACTAAAACAAAACAAGCTTTTCATGCTCCTGATCCAAAACCTTGTTAGACAGAGCTTGTGCATCTCAGTGATGTGCTTTTTCACTGGACTGAATTCCAGCTCTTTCCTTGCTCTTGCTTCCCGCAGTGCTTGCATGCTGATAAGTTGGTGGGTAATTTTTTTTTCCCCCTCATTCAACTCTGGATGTTATACCCATGGAGATGTATTAGTTCAGGTACAGATGCATCCTGCATCCCAAAGGTCCAATGAATCTGCAGGGATCTGTGTTAGCAGGTACAGACACAGCTTGGGGACTGACTAGAGCTGATGTTAAGCCCTCTTAAACCCCTTTGTATGTTTTTGCAATAGCAGAAACCCATTTGCTGTTCTGCCTTCAAAATATAAGCAGGATGTATTTAGCCAAAGCAAGCTTTCATCTCGTTTCTTGCAAGGTTGCAGATTGAGACATAGTGGTCCATTAGGGAAATGGTTTGCTGTTGTGTTTACCACTAAAGTGGAACCTGTTCCACATTAGAATGATCTAGAGAAAATATGTCATGCACCAAACCCGTAGAGCGTATAGACAAGTTTTTGCTTCCTACAAGCATCATTCTATTAACTGCACGAGCCACCAGTTTGGAAAAAAATGCATCTCATTGGGTTTGCAGCTATAAATAACTTTCAGATCTTGCCTTGCTTGCCAGAGCCCTGTCCTGTTGCACAAATTTTGATGTATTTTTAATTATACTTTTTTCTTGACATGCTAAAGGGAAGAAAAAGTTTAAAATACCCCAAGCAAAATATTATTCCTCAAAAAAACCCCACAGAACGCTTCTGGTTTTTTATTGCAAGAGTTGCATTGCACAGTAGATCTGATGTAGATACTTGAGTGTGATGTTTTATTCCAAGAGGTAGGATAGATGGGGAAGCATTGGGGTCCAACAGGTTTGGGCTGGTGAAATAGCCGGGGGCATATCCTGACCACACTCAGCACCTCTGGGATGACCATCCTATCTTGGTGAAGCTTTGCAGGGCTTCTGCACTGTGTCATAAATGTCTGACTGTAGGCTCAGAGACTGTCAAATGAATTCACTTCCCAAGTGTCCATGGACAGCTCCAGCACTGTACTCTGTGAATACTAGAGTGAACTCAGTAAGCTGGCAAGACTTTTTTGAAAACGTTGTTTTGTTTTGTTTTAAATATATGCATGAAAACTTTGCATAGTGAGTTTTAACCCTGGAAACATAATTCCTGGGCAGGGAATAGGCAGAGATTACCAACCCCACCTGCCGATCAAGTCAGCAGAGTCACCAAAAGTGAGACATCAGCAGCTGATATTTGATTTAACAACATTTAGGAACATCACAATTTGCAGAGATACTGTTGTCAACATCAGATGAAGCAAAAATCATTGTGATTAATGATTCTTCAATTTTAAGCTTATCTATACCCTTGTAACATCTTGTTTTATCTCCTGCAAGGGAGCAGATGGTGTTCGTGGGTTGAAAGGCACTAAAGGTGAAAAGGTGAGTTAACACTGCACGTTTGAGTTGATTTTCTACAGCCTCTGAGCATTTTTGCAGATCTGTTCCACAGGATGCTCCCTGGGATATTTTTTTCTGCACAGGAGAGTTGTCTTAGATGATCTAGGAGGCTAAGCACCCAAAGGACTGGCAACCTCTTTGTTTTTGAGTGGGCATAGGCTGGGTACCTGTAATGACGTTCTGCGACATCTTGGCTTGGACATGGGATTAGTTGAGCCTCCATGGTACGTCCAGGTCTTGAGCTGTTTGCTGGGGCCAGCCATTACTGATAGCTCAGGATCTGGCATCAGGATGACTTCCTCACAGCAAAATTAGTGATTAGAGTGATTCACTGGAGCTGAGGGTTTGTGGTGTGTTACAGCTGAATAACAGCAGACTGGACATGCAGTCCAGCGTGGTCATCAGAGCAGCTTGTGACACCAAAGTCAATAAGAAAGTCAACACAGCTTCTCAAAGGTGCAATTGGTTTCTCCCAGAGGAAGAGCAGGAGGTGTCAAAAAATCTTGCCCACTCCCACAGAGAGATCCATGTTCCTTTGTTCCTGCCCCCAGCATTTTGGCTGCAAAGCCGGCAAATCCTGGTCAGGGACCTTCCAAACTTTAAAAGTCTTTCTGGAAACTGCATCTTCATGGCCTATGAGAGATCTGCTGTAGGACGAAATACATTATTGATTTGAGCTCTGCAATTAAACCTTCTTGGCTACAAGAAATATTGCCAATGTCCTAGAGGTTGCCTCAAAACATGGTGTAAAACATCTTTCATGAAAATAAAACCAGTTGTACTTCAGAAATAATTGGTTCCCAGTACTGGCAAGGTGATGTTATTCACATTGGGCCAGATTTGTGATCTTGACTTGCAGCCAGAATGGGATGTAGCAAATATTTGCTGTGATCCCTTGGGGACCTCAGCAGTTGCAGCCTGGCTGGGTTTCCATGCCCATTTGTGCACACCAAAGACTTACAGAAGCTGATGTGATGGGCGGTCAGGGACCTAATTTTGTCCTCCTGGGTAGGGGCCATACACTAAGGCTAGAGAAGCCTTTTTTCTTTTTTTTTTCCATCTATACACCTTGTCTGTTTTTTCGCCTCTGTTGTTTAGGGTGAAGATGGCTTCCCTGGCTTCAAAGGTGATATGGGCATCAAAGGAGACAGGGTAAGAGGCTATGACCAATGTGATCTGGCAGTGCTTTGCCTTTCAAGCCCACACATTATCATGCAGACGTGGCTCTGGAAGAGCAACAAGGTGGATTTCTGTTGGGAGTCCTGGCACATCTGATCCCGAGGCAGGAACACGGGAATTTCATGTTCATCTCAAGCACAGCAGTTGTAAATCCCTAAACTTGCTAATCCTGCCTCGAAGGTGATAATAAAGGGTCCTGTCTTCCTGGTTTGACTTCTAGGAGTACTACCTGATCCACCTGTATCATATATTTATTTCTAGCATCTCTTTTCCCTGTAACATTACATCTAGGATCTGGTAGGCACTTTTATTTGCTGAGTCTAATGTGATTCGATATCAGCAACCTGAAGTGTAAAGTTACCGGCAACACACTTAATTAGAAACATTAGAAACCAAAGCAGTGCTGTGAAAGTTGCCAGTGTTATATTAGACTCATATCATGTTTAAGGGAAAAATGAATGCCTTATGTGAAGGCTTGTAAAAATAGACATCAAATCCTCCAGTTCTCCTGGCATTTAATTGTGTAATTGAACAGTTAAAATAACTGAAAGCTTCCCCAGCCCCTACTTCTTGCTAACGAGGAAGGACTGAAGGTGGCGACTCTGGGAGGTGACTCCTGTCCTTGCCAAATGCAGATAGACGTAAGCTCCTTCAGAGAGAGCTCATGACTCTGGGTCCCACCATCAGAATTTTGTGTTTTATGATAAGCAATGAAAGGACAAGGGGTACTCAAGAGCCTCGCAGATAAATCTGTGTCCACCCAGCTTCTGGTGAGCGAGGAGAAGGCTCCCTGTGTTCACAGCGTGGAAGCATTTCCCATTACCCTGCGTGACAAAATGACAACTGTTGTTTTATGTGCCAAAGCCTGCAGTGTCACAACAATTCACATTAATAGCTCCGTCCTCTCTGCTCTCAGATTTCTTAATGATTTTCTCCACAAAAGCTCCAACCCAGTATTTCTTCTCCAGTTGCCCAGTTCAACCCTCAATTAAACACTTCCCAGGGCTTGCTTCACATCGAGCTGCGATTTGGGAACCGGGAGGCGGGTAAAAGGGTACATTGCAATCAGGGCTAATGAAGGCTGTTTCTGTGGAGAGGCACTGCGAGTAGATGGGATAATTGGGGTACAGGAAAAGACGGCTGTTGTGGGAGATAATGGCCAGGCTGCGTGAATGAAAGCTTGGTGCTCTAATGACGCTCTGCAATTTACTCAATGACAGTCTCGTCTGAGTCTCTTGAAAACCAGCTTTCTCCAAGAGTTGTATTAACAGCTCCATGGAGTATCTGCTTGCAACCGTAAGGGTTTTGCTGTCAGCAAACACCACGGGGTCTGGGACCTGCCTGCCCTGTCAACGCTTGTCTTGTGATTCACAGGGAGAAATTGGACCTCCTGGTCCTCGAGGTGAGGATGGTCCTGAAGGTCCTAAAGGTCGCTCTGGCCCCAATGGAGATCCTGGTCCTCTTGGTCCTGCTGGAGAGAAGGTGAGTCTCAAGGATGGAATCACTCAGGGATGTTTTATAATAAGACCCACTTTTCTTTGGGTGTCTAGGGTGGGTGGCTGGGCACTGCCCAGCATTGGCAGTCAGTGTTAGGGCAGAGGGATGAAGAGGAGCTGTGAGAGCTTTGTGTGAAGGCTGGCCTGAGTTGTTCAACACAAAGACCAGAGGAGACCCAGGGAAGATGGTGTCTTAAGTGTGTTGAGACATTGGTCTTTGGGGTTATCTGCTTGGGTACAGTGTCTTGGGAGAAGAGACCAGAAGGAGAAAAAAAAAAAGGAAAAATTGAAAGTATAATGGATTCCAGTCTAATTTCTAGGTGCATGCAGTTAGGAAAAAAAAAAATGGTAGCAAAAAATAATGGTTCCGTAGTGGGTTCCTAACACATTTACAGCACTCACTCTGCATCAAACCCCCTGGGATTTGCCCAGGGAGGGCAGAAGGTGGTGGCAGCACCCTGACAGCTTTATTCCACCCATGTTGCATCTGCTTTGCTCTCGTCTTTACTGCACTTGACATCTTCCCTTTCTGCTGCTGCAAATCTTGAAGTGACTCTCAAGATCTCTTGCCCATGCTAACATGCTTTCATTTGTGTTTCAGGGAAAACTCGGCGTACCAGGACTGCCCGGCTACCCAGGCAGGCAGGGTCCAAAGGTAACTCATTCGGGTTGGTGCTGGAGTGGTGTGGGGTGAGCTGGGGAGCCAACCGAGCTCTGATGGTTGTGCCATGCAGAGAGCTGAGCTCCCTGCTAACGGGATGAGGTGGAATGGCAGCATCTCCCACATGGTCCCCCCCTTCCCACCCATGGAGGACAAATTTATGGATGGGTAGAAACAGCTCCCAGGCAATAGCTGGTGGAAATCAGTGACTGTTTCTGCATTGCTTCAGTCTCCTGCAAAGTGGTGGGAAGAGATGGAGTGGGATGGGTGTGCAGGACTGCTTTGGGGATGGATATAAACAGGTTCCATGTGAGCTTTCATGCTAGTAATAGGCACAATAATCCTTTTTGTGTTGTTTTTTTATGTCTTCAAAGATCTGTGCTAGTGTTAGCTAATTAATTAAGGAGAATAGCTAATGAATTGAGGTCTCTCTGAAATTAAAATAAAACTCTCGTTTGCAGATTTGCAAACATCCTTTCTATCTTATCTATGTGCCCACCTTCATTTGGGCCATTTTCAAATGTTCTTTTTAAATTAAAACTGTGAATTCCACTACACAGACTAAGGCTGCAGCCTAGTTTTCAGGAGGCTGGAGGCTTTGGTAATTTATGTTTTTGTTAACTTTTTTTAAAAAATCATATTTTATTATTCATGTTCATTGCTTGAAAAACAAACAAACAAAAAACAGGCTTGTTTAACACTGGAGATGTAATTATCTGCAAGAGATTGTTTCCTGGTTGTGGTGTTGGTGGTTTATTTTTTAATTTGCATTTTATATCTGGGATGATGGTGGGTTTTTTAATTTCTTTGACTAATTCATATTTTAAAAGCAGCAGCAGCTATTCTCCAGGTGCTCACATTGGAAAGGAACAAGTCAGGAGTTAATTTTTCACGTGCAATATAATGATTTAGGAGCTAAAAACTAAAAGTCTGCCTGTTCCCCAGGTCCCTGGTACAACCATGGGCTTGGGCTTTTGCAGAGGCTCCTAATGAGGCATGGACCTTTTTTTTGTTTGGGGTTTTTTTTGGATGAAATTTAGTTTCTGAGGACATTTTGGGTCTTTGGTTTTGTTGTTACTGCAGAAAGGTTTAAATTTAAAAAAAAAAAAAAAAAAGCAAAGGGAGCTGTACACAGTGGGTGCTCACTGGGGTTATTCCAGGCCAGCAGGCGTCTGGCATGGACAGACAGAGCTGCCTTTTTCAGTGTCTTGATCCACTGTCTCTCTCTTTGCTCTTTCCTCCAAGGGCTCCATCGGCTTCCCAGGATTTCCAGGAGCCAACGGAGAGAAGGGCACAAGGGTAAGAGTCGCTTTGTCGAGCCGCTTTGCTGAATTCTTTTTTTTTCTCTCCAAAGAAAGTTCCTTGGGTAGGATGTAGGGAATGCTCCATTGCAGTTATAATAGTAGAAATATATATTAATTTTTATTTATATTACTGGGCTGGTGCTCTGATCACTGTTGCACAAAGGGGTTGCTCCAAGAAGGGTCATCTAACCCACTCGCAGCCTGGGACAAGGTCCCTGGCACAGGGAACGTGGGACCAGTGAGAGCCTGGAGCAGGGAAGAGGCTTCTGATGCTGGCTTTTGGGAGGAGGAGGATGCCAGTAATAGCACAGTCAGCTCTGCAGACAGCAGCTTCCCAATTAAACACTGGAAATTTTTCCCTCAAGATATTTTAAGAGATTTCGCTGAACCCAAATTCTTCCTGCGCTGCCAGACTTTTTGCTCAGGGCACGCAGAGCTTTTTAATCAACAGTAATTATTAGAGATGGGTGAATCTGTTCAAAGCAGCAAGAACCATCTTTAGCCTAACTTGAGATTCAAAATGCATAGATGAAGACACTCTTACGAGTTCCTCCTTTGAATAGGCAGAGCGATTCTAAATTCATAAATACCCTTAAAACATGGAGGATCCATCCTCCAGCTTTGTCTCTACCTCTCACCCCACCCCGCAGACTTTGCCCCTGAGTAGGGGTTGTCTAAATAACCCTGGTGATTTTTAATTTTATTTTGTGGAAGACATGCTTGAATTAGGAGATTCACAGTACAAACATAAAGTCATTTTCTGCACCAGCTCTGGTCACAGGGACAAAAAGTGGGAGTGAGGAGAGTGAGTGGAATTAGTTTCCTTTTTACTCTCATTTAAATACAAATGACTTCTAACAGACATGTTTGATAGGAGCTCAGAAAATATAAATCACTTTGCACTGCATTAATATCATGCCACACAAATTTGGTTTATATCCAACCCCTCCTTTTTTTTTTTAATTCCCACACTGAGTAATTTTCATTTCATTCTGAACTACAAGTGCCGCATCCTCTCCACTCCAGGCGGGAGGAGGGAGGCCATGAATAAGGCAGCTGCCACACCAGCCTTGAATTCGCTGTAGCCCTATAATTACCACCCGCCTTATCAAATATATAGCAATAAAACCCTCAGGCTGGATTTTTGGGTGGTGTAAAACAGGGCATCGACACTGCAACGGGGCTTTGCATCCCCAAGCATCCTCATCCTTCTTGTTCCATCTGCTAATTTTATTCTGGTGGGATGGAGAGCCAGACTGCTGGGATGGGAAACCTTTCTGGGAGTGGAGCACGTACCAAAAGCTGGTTGTTTATGAGATCATAGAATCATAGAATGGTTTGGATTGGAAGGGACCTTAAAGATCATCCAGTTCCAACCCCCCTGCCATCAGCAGGGACACCTTCCACTAGACCAGGTTGCTCAAAGCCTCATCCAGCCTGGCCTTCAACACTTACAGATAGGGGGCATCAACAACTTCCTTGGCCAACCTGTTCCAGTGTCTCACCACCCTTACAGTGAAGAACTTCTTCCTAATATCTAATCTAAACCTCCCCTCTTTCAGTTTAAACCCATTTCCCCTTGTCTTGTCATTAGTTGCCCTTATGAAAAGTCCCTCCCCAGCTTTCTTGTAGGCCCCCTTCAGGTATTGGAAGGCCGCTATAAGATCGCCCCGGAGCCTTCTCTTTTTCAGGCTGAACAGCCTGATTGGGAAAAACTCCAAGGGCTGGGCTGGTTGAATTTTGGCAATGTCCAGCCTGGAAGGGATTAGGGAGGGGACAGGTGTTCTGGGAAAGGACCCAACTTCAGGACCAAGCAATGATAAAACACAAAAAGACAAAAACAATCACCAGTTTGCTCACTTTTATTCTAAATTACCTTTGTGCTCTTACAGAGAGGTAGTGAGGACAGTTAGTCACATCCCCAGCATGCCACACTTCAGATTAGGAATTGAAAGGGGTTTTTTGCATTTCAAGTTCAGAATCTCGTATTGTCCTGGCTCATGAGTTGAGACATGCCTGGTGGACACTGTCCTGCTCCTGGGTGAGGTTGGACTCTGGACCATGGTGTGGTGAGGCTGGCACTGCTGTGCCAGCAGCCCCAAAACCTCTGGTACAAAGGAAGGAGACAAGAATCTGGGGAGAAAT